TTAATGTTTATAATTATCTTTTCCCCTCAAGGAACAGCACAAGCTGTTTGAGAGTGTCCAATTCCAGATAAAATCCACACTATTTCTTACAATGTACTGAATCACAAAAACAGTAGAAATTGTATTGTTTTCATATGCAGCTGTCTGTAAAGTAGTGGGATTAGACAATCCATTTGGGAAAAGTGAGAAATCTAAAGTAAAATGATGTTTTAAAATAAGTTAGCATTTGTGTACCTGATTGATTAAAAATAAATCCTATTGATGAGATATCTTAAAACAATTTGCTTACCAACGGTGTGCAATAAATTTCAGATTATGTGTATATTTGGTATTAGCAGATGGTGTGCAAAGCCAAAAGCTTGTTGTTCTTACTATTAGGACATGTTTCTACAGTAACTGGAAGTTAACATTTTCAGGCGCTTCTGGATACTGATGTAAAATATGTATCAGGTTACAGCAATGGCTCCTAAAAATGACAATCAGAATAAATGACAATTTTAAAGGGGTTGTATTCATTATAATTTTAAAGGGGTTGTATGATTAAAGAAAATTATTACCATGTAACTGGCAAGTTCTTCAGGAAAAATAAAGCTTTAGGACAGAAAATTATTTTTTCAGTTCATCACCCTGTTCTGAGAGGAGTCACATTATACATCATCCTGGCTAGATCTGTGGTATCTCTATTGTGGAATCTCTTATTTCAGAGACTTCTTTTAAAAAGAAAAATCTTTTTCTAACATTTATTTTTGAGAGAGCAAGACAGAGCACGAACAGGGGAGGGGCATAGAGAGAGAGGGAGACATAGAATCCTGAGCAGGCTTCAGGCCCTGAGCAGTCAGCACAGAGCCCTATGTGGGGCTTGAACCCACGGACCAGGAGATCATGACCTGGGCTGAAATTGGATGCCCAACCAACTGAGCCACCCAGGTGCCATTTCAGAGACTTCTTAAAGGCTTAAGTTTCCAGGAGGAATAGGACATGGAGAATTACCATGCTGGCTACACTCACACTCCAAATAAAAAGCCATTCTCTTGTAACAGACGCCCAAATGCCTGAAATTTCTTCTAAGTGGATTGACATTCCCCCTCCCCCATAGATGTCTAAATTTCTTCTAGAAATGTCCTCAGGAAAAGACGCCTTCTTAATGTTCTGAATATGCAGAGAACAAACTTCCATAAATGCCCACACGTGTTCTCTGCCAGCTAACATAAGAAGGGGCACAATGTGCTCAACACTCGTTACCAGACTTTCTAATATTGCCTGACCTCCACCTGGACCAGACACGTGGGTGTTGCCCACGGCCCCTTCCAGAATCTCCCTGGAGGTCACAAGCTGATAATCTCCAGGCCTTTCACAAAATTTTGTGCCCTACCTGCCTCCCTCAGTGTGCGTGACCACTTCTCCCTCATGTTCCTCTTGGATTCCCGCCCTAGAGGGACCTTTAACATAAAGCCTGGGAGCATTCTCCAACATGAATTCTTCAGTGGCTCCCCCCCACCCCCATCTGTGAGAATGAAGCTCACTCCTGAGCATGGTACACAAGACCCTCCATGATCTAAGCCAGACACTCTCAACTCTGGGGCACTTTGGAGTCTGGTTCTCAAGGTCCAGGGCAAGCTCTGGGCATCAGGTGACTCTAATATGCAGCACTGATTCTAGCCCCTTCTGTGTGCTGCAGACATCACTCTTGATCCACATGGCCTGGGTTTCGGAGCCTTGCAGGGGTCACTGCCCTGGCCAGGAATGCCCTGCTCCCTTTGTGAATTTTGCTCATCTCTCTGGACTTGAGGGCGAGGTATACCTTCCTTCTGTGGAGAAGGCCAAGTATTCAGAACCCAAAACCCTGAGGCCGAGTCACAGAACTTATAAGTTGTGGCTGGCATAATGGTGAAAGGGTGCCATTTCCTTTATAAACTTCTCAGGCAAGTTCAATGCCCCTAAAATAAGATTCCATATAATATTAAGTTGAATCATGTGAAACTGAGATTATTTTTGACTTAGAAAAATGGCAATTTCATGTGGCTCAACCTACATACTTCGGAAATTTTACACAAGTTACTCGAGCTTAAAAACAAAACAATGCAAACTTTAACACAAACTTTAATTGAGCAGATTTAATTTCCCTGATCATATTCCATAAGTCATACAAATACTGTCCATTAGACCAGTGGTTTTAAAAATTTACTGTACATACAAAGCAGCTGGGTATCTTGTGAGAGTGGTTCCCAGCAGCTCTGTGGTGGGACACGAGTTTACACATCTAACAAACTCCAGGGGATGTGGACGTTGCTGGTTCCTGGAACATACTTTTTTTTTTTTTTTCAACGTTTATTTATTTTGGGGACAGAGAGAGACAGAGCATGAACGGGGGAGGGGCAGAGAGAGAGGGAGACACAGAATTGGAAACAGGCTCCAGGCTCTGAGCCATCAGCCCAGAGCCTGACGCGGGGCTCGAACTCACGGACCGCGAGATCGTGACCTGGCTGAAGTCGGACGCTTAACCGACTGCGCCACCCAGGCGCCCCTGGAACATACTTTTGAAGAGCAATACATTGGACCACGTAAGAGGAACTCCAGGCATATATCAGTGGTACTGTGGGTTTGGTCCAGACCATCGCAATACAGTGGATATTGCAATAAATCGAGTAAAATGCATTTTTTGGTTTCTTATGTATAAAACTTATGTTTATACTATAGTGTAGTCTATTAACTTTACAGTAGCATTATGTCTAAAAAAACAATGTCCATACCTTAGTGAAGAATACTTTCTTGCTAAAAAATGCCAACCACCCTCTGAGCTTTCCGTGAGTGGTAATCTTTTTGCTGGTTGGAGGATCTTTTCTCAATGTTGATCAGGGTGGTGGTTGCTGAAGGCTGGGGTGGCTGTGGCAATTTCTTAACGTAAGACAGCAAGGAAGTTTGCCACATCGACTGATTCTTCCTTTGCCTTGAACACTTACGGGCCACGGTAGGGTTGTTAACTGGACCGATTTCAGTACTGTTGGGTCTCAAGAAATAGGGAGGCCCGAGGAGAGGGCGAGAGACAGGCGACCAGCCAATTGGTAAAGCAGTTGGAACATGTAACAAGTATTGATTAAATTTACCATCTTATATGGGTGTAGTTCATGGCACCCCAAAACAGTTATGAGAGGAAAACCTAAGATCACTGATCACATATCACCAGACCAAATACAGTGAAAAAACTGGAAATATTGTGAGAATGACCAAAACGTGACACAGAGACACAAAGCGAGCAAATGCTATTGGAAAAAATGGCGCAAACAGACTTGCTTGATGCAGGGTTACTACAAGCCTTCGGTTTGTAAAAAACACAGTATCTGTGATGCACAATAAAATGAAGTGCAATAAGACGAAGTATGCCTGCATAATATTTCTCAAAAAAAACATAAGTGTGGAGAATAACGAAAATGTTTCTCTACTCTTCTATACTAAGATCAACCCTGGTTTTCGGGATTTCCAGAGATCTGGTTAATTGTAAAGCCTTAATAAATTTGTAGGCTTTACTTAACTTCAAAATTAAAGTCCTATGATTTCAAACATTTAATAATGACTATATTAAAGAGTGCCTAAGAAACTTGTCTATTTCTGAGTGCACAGAAAGGATAATCTTCGGAGAAATTCTACTTCATTGCATAAACCCATGATTACTTCTTGTCTTTTGAGTCTAACCTCTATGATGATTTGGTGTGCTCCTTAAGGGCCAACACCATTTTACATCATATTTTGGTTTCACCAAAAGCACTTAGCGCTTGTATAAAAGTTCACAATTATAACACTTAATAAAAAGTTAATATTTTCTTTGCAGCCAGATAGGAGAAAGGACAATCTTCAAACATCCGATTAATTCTTTCTCATAAAGGTATGAGTTTACCCCACACACAACTTCTAAAAATAGAGAAACATTTTTTTTTTTCTGCTTCACATACTAGTATTAACGTTACAACTGGTTAGTGTATTAAAGTATCATTTACAATTATACATGTGTTAGGCTAAGAACAGGAATAAGTTCCTAGTGGACCACTTAAAAAGAATGAAGGGAATATGAACTGTGGTAGTTTGGGTGAGGAAAATAGAAGGGGCTCCAAAGTAATTTTTATTAATGGCTGACATCATCCAAATAGCAAGAGCCTCGCGGATGCTCTTGTGAGTTTGTGCCAACCTTCACTCTGGGCCTCTTGGCTGGACCCTGGGGACCTACTTTTGGAATGGCAGTTTGGGCCTAGGAAAAGGCACACCAAAACATTTCCCTGTAGATCAGCACAGCTCTTTTGTTCCCAGTTGTGATACTAAAAAGAGATAAAGGAAATGACTTTTAACATAAGATGCTGTAGAACTAAGATCCCTCTGATAAGGCATGACACCTGACTCTTACACTGCATGAGATGTCATCTTAAAGGCATTCCTGTGCTTTGGCTTCTCCACTGGGCTCTACCACCATCCAACTGATGCACCTGCTGGACCACTGGCTTCTGGGAGCAGTTCATGCCCAATAATCTAGGGAGAACTGGCCAGACTAACAACAACCAGCTCTGTGCAGAGCATGGGGCTTCAGAGGCAGTGGACACAGGGGACGGGGCCCAGGAACCTGTTTCTCCTATTATGGAGCATGACTACCAAGAGCTCGGGGAAATGTCACACACTGTGATCATTTAATTTTAATAGTTCGAACTGGGTTAGCTATTCATAAACACAACCAAGTTTCTGGCTTTTGACTTGACTCAAAACCAGTATGGTCTCTGAATGATCCTTTTTCTGCCTCCATGAGAAAGTGCAAGTGGTGCTGATAAAATACAGGTTTCTGGGCCTTCCCGAGGCCCCCCGAATCAGTCTCTGGGGCCAGCTATCTGATTTTCCCGGTTTCCCAGGGGGAACTAGAACTCATAACCTTGTTATGTATGACTTGAGAAAGTGACAGGCGAGTTTCAGTAAAGCAGCTTCTTCCATCTCTAGGATTCTCATAGCAGAAAGGCCCCCTCTTAGTTTACGCATTTTGAAATGACACCTGTGTCCCAGTGGATCACTTTATTAATGTGATACCCTAATTTTTACTTAGCAGGGGAGCATATCACCTTCTGTTAACCTACCACCATCCCCCTCTCCCAAAGCTGGTAGTGCTTTCCCTGGAAAATTTTAACCCCGCTGGTTGGGTGCGAAGAGGAGACTTTTACAGAACATTTAATACCTTCCCCTTTGACAAAGATGACTTCTGATCATCCAGCAGGATGGACCTGGACGTCTATCGACGCGGGACACCCGCTGGGGAACCATCCCTCCTTCACAGCCTCGGAGTTGGTTTCTTGCCCGTCCACTTCCATTCTACTCGCTTTTTAATTTGTCTCTGCCCCCACGCCCATAGCGGGGTCTGTTCACTGACATTATGAAAATCGCCACGAGGGCCAGGACAGCCCCCAGGCTGGGGGGCCCACATGGGCTGACCTCCTGCGCGACCCCCGAAAGGAGGGGGGCGACGATCCGGCCCACGGCCGTGACCGACTGCCCCACACCGATGACGGTGCCGCTGGCCTGCGCCCCTCCCGCAGCCAGCTGCAGGTCGGTGATGCAGGTCCTGCCCACGGCGGTGGAGACGGCCAGCAGCGAGGCGCAGAGCACGGCCACGGCCACCGTGTGGGTGGCGGCATGCAGCAGCAGCAGCACGCTGGTGAGCGCGCTCGAGTGCAGCAGGACCGTGTGGCCGTCGTGCCGGTAGAGCCGCAGGATGGGCCCCAGCGCCAGGCCGGCCAGGGCGCCCAGGGCGCTGCTGTAGCTGATGAGGTAGCCGGCCGCCCGCGGCCGCACCCCGAAGCGCTCCTGCAGGCCCACCACGAAGTTACTGTAGTAGAGCATGGCCGCCACGGCCATCAGCAAGCGCACCATAAAGATGTCCCACATTTCGGAAAATATCAGGCTCTTCATGTCCCGCAGGGTGGAAGCGACCTCCACCCAGGGCGGCCTGGCAGGCTTCCCACTGGTCCTGCTCTGGCAGGGGGCGGCCGCTTCCTGCACTTCGCAGTCTGTCTTCCCCCAAAGTGCGGGGTTCTTACCCACTGGCAGGCCTTTTTCTGTACTGGTGAGCTCGGCGTCCCGCCATGGAAACAGCCAAACCAGCCCTGTTAAGACGGCATAGGATCGGTCACAGCAGGCTGCACGCCCTGAATCCCACAGCGCCCCCACGGGGGTGAGCAATTGTAAGGGACTGCTACTCTGTATTTCTGTATTAGTATGTTTACCCATCTGTATTTTTGAATCCAGTTTTTAACTATTCCCACAGCTCCTTCTACCCCATTTTGATCGCAGAATTCTGCGATTCACCTAAAAAAACCAAAAACTATACCTACAAAATGTTCACTTTTTTCCCATCTCACGAGCTGGTGTCCTATATCATGCAATATCTAAGTTCTCATGCTGTATGTTTAAATTCTTCCCATCATTACCTTCTAATTCTCCACCTATCCACTATCTACCTACCCATCCATCCACCCATTCATTCACCACCCGTATTTCATCTGTTCGAATACTGAATATTTATGCTTCCTAAATGCTAAATTCTGTGAATAGTAGGAATATATTAACCAACAAGGCCAGGCCTATACAATCCCTGCCCTCAAGGAATTTAAGTCTAAAAGGGGGTTTGGACAAGCAAAGCAACTGGATTACAGGGTAAGTGCTAAGTTAGGGGAAGCATAGGATGCTGTGAACAGACACAGCTGGGGAGGGACAGCTTGACACCCAGGACCCATCAGAAAGCACCTGCTTGGATCTGCCCCTAGTCAAGGCCATCATGTGCTTTCGTGAGTCACACCTCAAAATCTCTGGGGGTGCCATTCTCACGGACCGTGATGCATGACCTGACACAGCAGCTCCATTCCTATTCAGATAATCCCACCTCCACCCTTGTGACTGGCACATTCCTGCCATGATTGTTTTATTTATCCCATGCCATCCAAGTAGAATGACCTATTGGCATGGCCAATCCATGCCCCCAGATGTCTTAAAACTGAATTCCAGCTTGCCATTCTACGATATCTTTTCCAAACTCATGCTGTTGGGTTCTCAGTCCTTCCACACTTAAATTCAACTTGGACCAGTGACCATTCAGGCCACCTCATGCTGTTTTCAGCAGCTACATCTGTGTGTGTGTGGTTTCTCCAAATATAGTACAGGTGGACTATTAGCCAGGGACTAATTTATGACAGGAAACTAACCATACAAGAATGCAGGCCTGGACTTTCCACCTCTTCTGATCTTTAAAAGGGCCCTCAGACATTTCATAGAATCTTGATAAAAATGAGAAAGGCTTGTCCCTGGAAGACTGAGAGGAAGAGTATAATTAAAATAATAGTAAGATGATAATCATGACAGCAACTAACATTTACTGAGGGCTTCCCATACTCGACTCAGAGGGGTGAGATGCTTGTGTGCAAGGCCTATGGTGTTCGTCCTAACAAGCACAGGAGTGTTGTCACCCTGTTTTACGGATGAGGAACTGAGGCAACCCACCCAAGGCCCACGCTAAAAAGTGGCAAAGCAGGAATCTGAATCTAAGTCTGTTAGACTTCTGTCTGAAAACAGAAATCGTGGAAAAAAGACATAAAAGGCCTTTCTCAGGCAACGGGGCAGATCAGACAGAGGATATGAGAAGCTGAAGGGGTAAAGAGGGTTGAAGAAAACAGTTGAAGTTGTTGAGGGGAAAAAAAAACAAAAACAAAAACAAACACCGTGCACTGAGTTCAATGCACTGTTAGGCCAAAGCCCCGTGTGAGACACTGTCTGCTCTCCAGCCCCTCACCCCCCCTTGTTCTCCTCTGCTATTTCCTGCATCAGCTTGGTCCAGCGACCTCCACATTTCTTAAGAGTGTAAGATAAATCCCTATTACTTTTTTTAGCCATCGTGGTTGAGAACGCTTGCAGGTGAATGTATCCCTGACTGACTCAGACCCATTCACAGGCTTAGGTGAGGGCAAAATATTAAACAGCAGCACCGCTGGAGAATCCAAAACAGAACTCCATAATCATGTTCTTCGTTTACACACTGACTTCTGACTTCCAGTGCTATCGCATTCATCACATTCCTTCGTGTGGGAAGGTACCTGGCCACACCAACTGGTCAGGTGCTTAAAGTATTATCTAGATTTACACTAATCCATCAGACCTCGCCTCCTGGTTGAGGTTGCAGGTTAAACTTCTGGCAGGAAATCATAAAGTATTCCTGTGAGGACTGACACTGAACCCGCGAACTCTGCTTCCTGAGTGTGAAATGGAACATGGAATTTATCACTCAATGTGGAGCCTTGAATACAAAGACTGAAAATGGTGCAGTAGGTTAGCGTTACATTTAAGAAAAACTGAATAACGTGAATCACTCTTCTTGCTTATAAAGTTGTTCATCTAAGGCTCATCCACGTTCCAGTCTCTGGGCAAAGAGGTTCATCTTCTTTGCTTTAGGTAACTGACCCTGTATCCAGGGGCTCACAGTCCAGTCAGTATTCTTTTATTCATCAAATATTATTGAATTCAGTTTTATGCCTGGCATGTTCTGGGCAGGAGTGACAACAATGCGCAAACCCCTATGCCTGTGGTGTTTACTTTCTAATGGTATGTGTGGGGAGGTGGGGAGGAGAGGGACAGAAAGAATAGAAGCAAGAAAACAAATTTCTAATATAATTTCAGAAGTGCTGTCAAGAAAATGGGAGTTATTTTAAACAGGATCATCAGGGAGGCCTTTCCAAGGAAGAAAATATTTGACACCTGAATGATAAGAAGAAAGACCCAGTAAAGATATTTGGGAAGAATGCTGTAGGCGGAGGAAAGAGCAAATTGCAGTGCCCTCCTGTGGGAATGAGCCTGGTGTGTGTGAGGTCGACCAGGAAGCCAGTGTGGCTGACGCATACGGAAGGAGGCAGAGTGAGGGGCAGGGCCAGCTCACCACTACGCTGGCTGTATGAGACACAGATGTGCTTTTAGCATCATGGAAAGACATGGAGGGGGAGGGTCTGTAGCAGGGGATGAAGTGGTCCAACTTCAAATTATAAGTCTACTTATTCTAAGGTGAAGGGTGAAGGGGGTTAAGAATATGCTTAACAGGATGAACACGGAGTCATGTACAGAATGGCTGAATCACTGTATTTGTACGCCTGAAACTAATAGAACACTGTATGTTAACTAGAGTGGAACAACAACAAAAATCCGCCTATTTTAAGAACAACAAATTGTAAGGAGATAAAAGTAAATCAGTGTGAATGCATAAAGTAAACAGTCTTCTTATGATGAAATGTCAACTTACCAGCATTGAGAATGAAGACAGAAAAACAGATGAAGGCTGTTAGATAAAATCCACCATCTAACTCAGTAAGATATCCACCAACCATGGGGCCCAAGATGAAGCCCACACCAGAGGCTGCATTGAACTGTCCAATTACTAGGGGTCGTTCCTTCTCTGCAACCAGATCAGAGAGCAGAGCTCTTGAAATGGAGAGTGTGTGTTTAAAAATACCTGTAAGGGGACAAGAAACATGCTCTGTGACATTTTTCAGACCAAAAGTATCTTGCATTTCATCTCTATCACTGACAAGAGTTCTAGTCTCCACTCTCTTCGAATGTCTAAGCTCTGCAGTTTGATGCCTCTGTGACTGGACTCCCGATCGAGCCCCACGGTCCTAGTTGGTCAACTTACCCCTGGTGGTGAAGCCCTGAATCCTCAGCCTCCCCACCTCCCACCCTGACATCCCAGTATCTCCGGTCCTCTCTGCTAGCCAAGTGCAATTCATGGTGACTTCTCTACAGAGATGTATCATTCTTTATTCATTCACTCTGTGAATAAACATTCACTGCATACCTACTATACGTCCACCATTAACTTTGACCCATGACACAAATGTATCTATCTTCACAGAGCCTGTGTGTGTGTGTGTGTGTGTGTGTGTGTGTGTGTGTGTGTGTGTATAAAGGTGATAATTGCTACAGAGAGAAACAGAACAGGCAAGAAGGATAGGGAGTAAAAATATAAAAATATGATGACACGGTCATCTAAACAATACCAACTGATTTTCTATTAGCGAGAGGGTTATGGATTGGTTGACTAAACAAACTGAAAGCTGTGACATGGCTTAATAAGAGATTCAATTATATGTTACAACTTCATATTCCTCCTACTTCTGCTGATGTATTTGACTTGTCTGCGCCCATACTCCCATACGCTGAACAGACTGTGCATTCTGGTAACACAGCTTGCCCACAATGTCGATTGATGCATAGTAGGCACTCGATCAATGCTCCTGCAGGGTCTGCCTGAATTTTCTCGCAACTGTGATGTAACACAACAGTTTCCAGCGATCTTCTTGAAAGAAGTTTAACTCCGCACATCACTCTGTCAGCACACTGATGCTGGGTTCTATACCCAGCTGTGTCTAAACATCAGAGAGGGTATTTGCCTGATAACCAGCCTCTCTGGGAAGCAAACTTATAAATCCCTTTGGTAATTAGGTAGAGAGACTCTCTCTAGATCTATTTCCTTGAATGTGAGAAAGGATGGGGCCGGAAGATGATTCCTAAGAGGCTTGATAGATTATGTTCCTGTGATTATAGTACTGTGTTTATTTTGAAATGATACCGATGTCGGGTTCACCTCACACACCTAAGGAAGGAGGAATGTGGTGAGAGTATGCGGTGAGAAACCCAGACGAGCTTTCTGGTACATTTCAGAGGCTGGGCTAGGGGACAGAGGGAGGAGGGGAAAACCAAAGGTCTGCTTCTGGTACTTTAACCTCCCTCAGGTTCACCTTCAGGATACAAGGACCTGAATCTACACGGGACATTGCAAGGCACAACCCCGGCAAGGCTTCCCAGGACTCCCTCACATCCCCGGGCCACCAAGCACTGTAGAGGTCCCCATAGCAAGAAAGAATTTTTATGTATAGCTCTCCTGTTGGCAAAGAGTATGACGTTCACCTAACAGAACTATCATTACTCAAACCAGGCTCACGTCATATTAAATAAAAACATTTTAATGACTGTTCACATTCAAAGCAAAGACCTTCATAAACTTTTTTTTTTGGGGGGGGGGGTCAATAGAAAGACGCAGCATGAATCCTGGAGGGTAAACTCAAAAGACTTGAAGAGTAAGAACGTATGTGACGGAAATGGGGTGAAAATCCCAAATAAGGTGATCATTAACTGCATGTCAAAAGGACTTATTTTATGCTCTGTTCCTTTGGGGTGTTAGTTAAAAACAAGCAGCTTCACTGAATACGGGCAGAGGTCCAGTGCTGCAAACTCGTCCACAGGGCAGCAGTCTGTCAGTGCTCTATTGAGTAAGGGGAGAAAGAAACACTGAAACTCCAGGGCTCTCACAACTGAGAAAGGCAAAGAGAGAATAAAAAGCTTCCACAGGAACTGCCTACGCACCACACTTTGACGGCATTCACAAGTGGTGTCTCAAAGAATGGACAAAATGTTTCAATGAATGGACAAAATAAAAGCTATTTCGAAAATGCCAGAAACATTCAACATTAGTTTGGAAACAGAAACCAACCCATGAGCCATGAGCCACTACATTGTCATCCTAGTCTCTCCCTCAAGCAGCAGCCAGATTCACAGAAGGTTGTGAGAAAGCCATAGCCGTAAATCTCCACTTGAAGTCAGGAAGCCCAATTTCAAAACCATCAGCTCGCCAAGAGAAAGAACAGTAACCACAGTGCTGGCCAAAGATGCTGAACAAATTCTTACTGATTGAACGTACAGAGATCAGATCGATGGGAAGGAGACAGGTCTGTGCAGCCGCGTGATGATTCACACCGACAGACGGCAAGGGCTTCAGACTGTCATGTGCAAGCTTTGGAGCTCGGCACAAGTTAGCAGAGCCCGGCTGATACAAAGTGCTCCGCCACCAGCAGCGGCTGGTGTTGCAGCTTTCTTGCTGTTGTCATTATTCTCTTTTTTACATAAGCTCTCATCAAGAAGGCAATTACCAGAAGGGAAGTCTCTTTCTACAGATACATGTAACTGACTTATTTTGAGTGCACACACACACAAAGGCAAGGACTCACCCACAGGGACTCTAGCAAGGACAAACAGGAACACATTGGTGGATGCTCCAAGAATCAGATAACCCAGGGCACTGAACAGAATGCACACCAGCAAGGAAGACCGTCTTCCAACCACATCACTCCAGCAGCCCTGAGGAAAGCAAGGAACACAGCAGGTCCACCACGACTATGGAAATGCCCCCAAAATGTTTTTAAATATTTTTAAAAGTTTATTTATTTTTGAGAGAGAAAGAGAGAGATCATGATGGGGGAGGGGCAGAGAGCGAGGAGACACAGAATCCGAAGCAGGCTCCAGGCTCCAAGCGTCAGCACAGAGCCCGAACTCACGAATGGTGAGATCATGACCTGAGTTGAAGTCAGATGCTTACCGACTGAGCCACCCAGGCAGGTGCCCTGAAATACCCCCAAAATGTGACCCAGATATGTTGCCAGATGGGAGATAACTTACCACCAATGTGCTAGAAAAGAGCTGCAAAATGCCATAGGAGGAGCCTACAAAAGACATCAGTAAATCAATAAAATCAGATGGACCCATCACAAAAAATGGATTAATATGGTAACAATTACAAAGAAATTAACAGAAAAACACTGGGGATGGGGGGAGGACCATTTTTAAAAGGAAATTACCCTTTTTTTTTTTTCAGTTGGAAGAGTAAAGCAATACAATTTTTAATAAAAGACCTTCAAAAATAAAACTGAAGGAAGCAAAAGAGAGACTAAAGGTAAGGGCCACCCGCAGGGACTCTGAGAGAGAGGCCTTCTCCCACTTTGTGAGGATGTGCACCCCCAGCTGAGAAGACTGAACAGAGAGTACTTGGGGGGAGCAGAAATCTGAAATCAGCAAGAATTCTACTGAGTCTTAATCTGCTGTATTATCTCATATGCCTCCAACATTCCAGTTTTATAAAGAACTGACAATGTTTTACAGAGCGCTCTTACCCCCATTATGTCAAATAACACGTCCCTTCTGCTCTGCATAAATACCTTCGTGCTGCTGTGTGGTCCAGTATGATTCCACTTTCCAAGGAAGTACAAATCAGGGCATGGAGGACTTACCAAACATTTTGTACACAGCTGTCCCCAAACATTTGCTTATCTAGCCTGTGAATTACCAAGGGCTCTCAGTCTTAACAATTTCTTGTACATTAGCACAATCCCAAGCCCTATTTCCTGTCTCTTGGGTGAGTCAGTGACTTGCAGATGTGCAGTTTTTATGCTGCACAGGTAGAGGGACCCTAACAACCCCCTAAGATATGCCGGTGGTGATGCAGGAAGCTTGCAACCAATTTGTCAGGGCTCACCCCAAATCCCTTTGCCGCATGGCTTGATTTCTGTAGGTTGTGTTTCTCTGGTTCCTCGCATTAGGTCACAGGTTCCTGCAGGCAGGAGTCTATACCTATCCTTTAACATACACAGCCAGCTCCTTGGAGAGGCTCAGGAAGTACCTGTAATGTCACTCGTGGTAAGGGGAAGGGGATAATGCTAAACCTCGAAACCTTTCTGAACACAGGTAATCTAGGGAAAGACAAACTGCATTTGCTCCAGGGCAACATTTTTAAGTATTCTGAAAATCCCTTTTATCCCCTTTTCAATTTACCTTTGGATAATATTCAGCTAGAAGACTGATTTATTTTTTGGGGTCTTAGTCTAGAGGATTGAAAATTCAGCACTCTGAAAATGTGCAATATTAACCACTCACCTACTATTCCAGCAACTGTTGGACTTGCTCCAAGAGACTTGACATGAAGGCTCAATAAAGGCACGACCATGCTTACACCAAACAAATCCTAAACAATAAAACACTAATTAACTCCAATTGAAACTGCAGCTTAGGTGTTCTCAAAGTGGTAATCCTAATAACAAACTGATTAAAAAAAATAAAAACAGGGGTGTCTGGGTGGCGCAGTCGGTTGAGTGTCAGACTTCAGCTCAGGTCATGATCTCGCGGTTCATGGGTTCGAGTCCCGCGTCAGGCTCTGTGCTGACGGCTCAGAGCCTGGAGCCTGCTTTGGATTCTGTGTCTCCCTCTCTCTCTGCCCCTCTGTTGCTCATGCTCTGTCTCTCAAAAATGAATAAACGTTAAAAAAATTAAAAAAGAAATAAAAACAATACCTAAAATTTTCAGCAAACAAGAAATCATAATTGTATCTGTAGCCTGCGATACTCATCAGGTTAAAGTTATCAAAGAATCAAAATACAATGATAATGTTATAAGAATTGCTACGTGTAAATGCCTGATCCCCATTACCTAGAATCATTCAACCTCAGCTTCTCTGTAATTGATCCTTAATACTCAAGGAGGCTATGAGACAGAAGTTAAATAAAAAAAATGTTTGTGTGTAATGAAGTGGGAAAGGAAGTAGGGATAATGCATATTCCTTGGCAAAGCATCCCTTGCTTAATAATATGAATTTCCTCCCATAATTAGGGAAGGCAACTAATCATGGTTTACAGCCTCACAAGGTAGTATCTGAAAAGAAAGTCTCAGCAAAGCAGGAAGGAGAAAGACGGCTGGAGTAGTGGGGAAAGCCAATGTTTCGCAGCTGGGTCAATGAAAGTGCATGGGATTTGGGGTCAGACAGTTTTCAGTTCCAGCTCCAACACTTCCTAAGCATGTGTGCTTGGAAAGTTATTGAATGTCACCAAGCATCAGTGCTGTCATCTGTAAAAAATGGGGATAATTTAATACCTGTCCGGTAGAAATATGATGTACATTAAAAGACATAATGGATGAGAAAGGTCTAACATGCAATAGAAGTTCACACATTTTTTCTCTTCTCCGGGACTGGGGATAAGTACTGATCCTTCCTGCTAGGTATTCTGAGTGAACAGGTAGATTGGTAATTTTTCCTTTAAGTTTTGTTCTCATTCCTACTTTACTTGGTTACTTTCTACAACTGGCTTAGAAGGAGGAAAGTACATTGGGCATACACACAGTTTTCTTTATATTCAACCCAAATTCCTTTTGTTATAATCCTGGTTAAATACAAAGAAAGAAATGCATGAAAAATATTTTTTTCTTTGAGCCACAATGAATCTTTTGCCTGCCTCTTCTCCTGGTAGCTATACCTTCACCTAATTTTAGAAACATGAATCTCTAAATGCACTTTTCAGTGGCCCTTTTTCATGGTGACATCTTTAGGTGGCCATATAGTTACTATCCAGTGTTCTTTTTTTTTTTTTTTTCCAACGTTTATTTATTTTTGGGACAGAGAGAGACAGAGCATGAACGGGGGAGGGGCAGAGAGAGAGGGAAACACAGAATCGGAAACAGGCTCCAGGCTCTGAGCCATCAGCCCAGAGCCTGACGAGGGGCTCGAACTCACAGACCGCGAGATCGTGACCTGGCTGAAGTCGGACGCTTAACCGACTGCGCCACCCAGGCGCCCCTATCCAGTGTTCTTAAATAGCCCATAAATTTATACAAGAACTACGGTTTATTATTTTGATATTAAGATTACTTAAAATTTCTTTTGGGTCTGAGTCAATGCCTTGTGGGGTTTTCTGTCAGCTTTGTGTCATCAGCCTACTGATGTATCATATCATTTAAAAGACACAAAATACATCAGTTACCTACTGAATTTTCTGATCTGTCAGAAAAGGAAACTCAATTGTCCAACAAGATTTTATTTTCCAAAAACTTCCCGGTGCCCCTTGTCATTTAACTTTCAAAACGTTATTCTAAATAAAGGATGGAAGAGAAATAACTAAGTAGGTTGAGATTTATGGAAGGTAATAAGAAAACATAGGCTCATGTGAGCCTGAAAAATATTGTTTCCAAGGAGGCTGGTGTTAGCTCTTTTGGGAAGTTGTGCTGTAAAACTGTCTTCCCTTGTACTATAAAAGGCAACCTCTCTCTTCCCGTGAATCCACACGCTCTTCAAAACCACCCACATTGCATGGGCTTTGAATGTTGCAACTGGTCACGTGCCTGTAACCATTTATAAGGAAATTAGGTGAGTGGGGATCGCTTACACCTTTCATGGGAACAGCTACATCTCTGTCAAAACCGGTGAATATGCTGTCCAGGATCTTTTTCAGGGTAGGAACCCTGAAAGTATTTTGTGATGAGTAAATTGCTAATAAGAGAATAAGAGACCTGACTACAGCTGATTAAATAAAATATGAACCTCACCGTGTATCTGGAGGAGAGGGACTGAAATCACGGATCTTAGCACCATCTTAGAATGGTAACCGAAAAGGGTCCAGAGGGCCTTCTTGGTCTTCCTTCTTAAACAGGTTGAAACCCGGAAGCCCAGATAAGAACTAAAAACAGAACACTTTGGCAAGTACCATATGAGAGAGGGAAGCAGTAGCTTACAGTACCCAGCTCCTACCAGAGGGTGGATGGCAGCCAACTCCCTTTCGAAATCTCCAGAACCACTCACACTCAATAGTTTTGAATTCTGGGTGACTAGAATGGAAAGTGGAAGAGGTATTTACACCCTGAAACTGAACTAAGATTAAGGAATGCCAAGCTGAGGCATTCTGGAACTGGAGGCGCTGAGCCTGGGGCGGGGTAGGGTGGGCAAGGTGAACTGTAGGCAGAGTTTCCGTGTGAAGTGCTGCCCTCCTGAGTGCTTCATGGCTCTGTGTTTACAGTGACTTGGTGAAAATGCTTTCATCATTGTCTTAACTATTAATTCAACATTAAAACTTTACAGGCTGATGAACACCTTGCAGTGAGGAGGGGGCAGGGAGACTGCCTTCCTGCTCCTCTCTTAGCTGAGCATGGCTCAGCATCCAGACTCTATCATACTGGGGAGCAGTGGTCTTAACCTGCATCTGGGCAGAAAACGGTAATTCCTCTTTGCCAAGACCTAGTGACACTGGGGACTATTCACGGCTGAGACAGTCTTCTCCCAGGAACGCTTAACCTGACTAGTTCCTTTTGTCATCAAGATACAGACTCAGCAGAGGAAATCCTACTGGACCTTTGTCCCAATTCTTCCCTAACGTGGATCGGCTCACAACCAGAGCAAATGCACCAGGTCTAGACTTGGAAAGAGAGGAGTAAAGAGTTGGATCTCAGGTTCCTGGAGATAATGGCCCATGAACTACCAACACAAGCTTACTAGTAAGACAGTTAAATTCTTCCCAGCAGGGACTATGTATTACAATGATTGGAGCTCTAAAGCATCTACCACATAGCAGCTTTTCTGAAATTCTATCAATAATAAATGGATGGATGTATGGATGACTTCCTCCATCCTATACTCATCTTTCTAAGCTTTCCATTCTACATTGGAAATCATAATAAATGCCCTTTATTTAACCAGGACACACACACACAAATCATGAAAAAACCAAATCTGCGTTGTCCAATCTTTGTTGAAGGACAGATGTGTATAATTCACTGTGGTTTGCAATTTTTTTGGTTGGTAATACAGGTGTGCTGTTTCGAAGGGACACATGCACCCCTATGCTTATAGCAGCCCTATCAACAATAGCCAAATATGGAAAGAGCCCAAATGTCCATCAAAGGGTGAATGGGTGAATGGATAAAGAAGATGTGTGTGTGTGTATGTGTGTGTGTATACACACACCAAATGGAGTATTACTCGGCAATCAAAAAGACTGTGGTTTGCATTTTTAAACACTCAAGTCTACCAGGAATCCTAGTGTAAATGTGCCCAATTCTCTCCAAGTGGGGTCATCAACAGAGACTTCCCCGACCTGGCCTGACATAAAGGCCTGTGTATTCCTAGCACATTTACAGACACCAGATCAGCTGGACTTCCTCAAGCTTGCCCACCAGCCCTTACTGTCCACCCTGCATGCGCAGTACCTACCACAGCATCTAACACCTGGGGTCACCTTTGAGCCCGGCCGGATCACAGATCACACTTGAGGCTGGTGCTGGGGGCCTTTCAGAGGGCAAGAGGGGCACAGGAGCTGCGAACTGGGCCCTCCAGAAAGCGCTTAGGGGCAATAAAGCAATATGGCCTGGCAGAGCGAAGGGGTTTAGGAGCAAGAGGAGGCCTGAAAAGTAAGGAAGCACCACCAGGCGGATCGCAGGTTCCCAGCCCTGGCTGAACCTTACCACCGCTCGAGCTTCAAGAAAAAAACCACCCCTAACTGGGTTCCAGGTCCAGGACGCAGCCCTTCGACCTCAGCCCCGGAACTCACCAAGAAGCCCACCAGGTAAAGGCAGAGCAGGAAGCGGCGGGCTCTGACGGCACTGGCGCCAGGAGCCCGCGCCTCAGCCCCGGGACCCGGCTCCTGCCTTGGCTTCCGAGGAGCCGAGGCCGGCCCCCAGGCGGAGGCCAGGCCGCGGCGACCCCCAGGCTCCATACGAACACCGGCTGGGGGGCGCGGCCACCGCAGCCGCTGCCGGGAACCGCCCCCGCACGCCAGCCCCGCCCCGAGCGGAAGCGAACGGCGTGCGCCTGCGCAGAGGGTAGCTCCACGAGGCTGCGCGGCGGTGGTCCAGTGCACTCGGCAGGCAGACCCCGTCGCAGTTTGGCTCCGCAGGCCCAGGACGGAGCTGACGCGCCCGTGGAGCGTGAGAGACGCTCCAGCTTTGTTGTGGTAATGATGATGCTTTATGTTTCCATGGACGGGAGGGTTCAGTAAAGAGCTTCACCAAAGAGTATGCCCCAGCCCCTGGCCCCCCCCGCCCCGGGTGGCGGCTGCCCAGCCTGGGAGACTCAAGACTTAGGCTCTAGTGGCCTCTGAGTGACGTGGAGTAGGTTCCTCTGGCCCCTCCAAACTTCGGCTTGCCCGTTGGAAAAGCAGCGGAAATAATGTAGACTAATCTCAGAGAGCTGTGAGGATCCTGCAAATGCTTCCTGAGCCCGAGGGGAGGTTACAGTTGCCTGGAATAATTAATAATAAGCATGTAATAAATAAACGTGATAAATCAGAAACATACCATAAACAAGAGAAGAACACGATAAATAAAATAATACGGTGACAAGTGGTAGAAGAAAGGCCCTGTTTCCAGATGAAAACTAAGGCCGGGAGTGAGCTGCTCTTTTGGAAGCTTGGGAGAGGTGGCATGTGGACTGAGAAAGTTGAGGAGATATATATATATATATATATATATATGGCGGAAACTTTCTGAACAAACTGAGTAATCAGGGAGATAAGCAGGAGGCAGGATCGATCATTCAGGACCTAAAAGGCCCTGGCAGAGCTTTAAGATTTTATTTTGAGTGCAATGAAAGGAATTAAGCAGTGCATGACGCCAAATAGTGTGTGTATCGATCACTTGGCACAGGGACTGACATATGGTAAGTACTTAATATTAATTATGGTTATTAGCCCCTCTTATTAGGAACTTATTTCAGTTCCTACTCCTCTCTCGGTCTGAGATTTTGATGAAAAATCTTAATTTAGTTGTGCAGGTTGCTAAATGGCTACATCTGTTGGATTTGATCTTGCAAAGTTTGTCGTGTGAAAGGGCACCGTTTAGGAAAGAATGAGATACTGAAATTTAGAGTGGAGATATGTGGTTGGAACCAGATGAATCTGACAAGCTTGAGCCCCCCACCCAAGTCACTCTGAGCCTTCTTTGCCTCTAGAAGTAATTTGCCTTCTTGTATCCAAGGAAACTAGCCTCCCTGTGCTTCCTGAAGTTTGCGTGGTTAACCCATCTGGGGTAGGTGCTTTGAAGAGGAATACTCCTGTTTCTCAAGACCCATCGAAACCACTCACTTTTCACTAGATAGATAATGAGGGTAAAATCTCAGCATACTCCAGGGGGCAGGTAGACACTGTGACCTCAGAGAAAATTGCTTACACACCAAAAGAATTGAAAGACTGCTAATATATAATCAGCATACCTTGGAAATGTATAGGGTAGGAAATTTTAAGTGTGTCAGATTAAGGAGGGAAAACTATAACACTAGATTAGGCAGAATTCACCAATAGGAATGCACTTACTAGGTTCCAGATGGAATGTGTTTGCTTTGGAGAGCCAGAGGTGGCTTTCATAGCTTAACTGGTTGGTTGACTGAAACATGGACTCAGAGGTTTCTTGGCATAATTTGATTATCTTGGGATGTCAGAGGTTTCCTGGCATAATATGAAGAAGGGAGTCCAAAGCTTGAGAAAATAAGAGTGTTACAGTGGATTTATGATGTATGACCTGCATGCCTAACCCCCAAATACATCCCATAAGAATGCCTGGAAGGCACTACCTTAATTAGGCATTGAGGACTATGATAGTGGGAGAAGCACTTACATTCTTTCTTTTTTTTTTTTTTTTTTTTTTTTTTTTTTTTTTTTTTTTTTTTTTAAGTTTATTTATTTTGAGAAAGAGACAAAGCATGAGTCCGGGAGAGGCAGAGAGAATGAAGAGAGAGAGAATCCCAAGCAAGCTCTGCGTTGTCAGCATGGAGCCTGACGTGGGGCTCGAACCCATGAACCGTGACATCATGACCTGAGCTGGAGTCAGAGGCTTAACTGACTGAGCCACCCAGGAGCCCCACACTTAATATTCTTGAAGAGGCTTATGATTGCTCTCTTTTGTAGGCTGGGTGTAGCTATGGGTGATATTGCTTTTGAGGTGATATCCCCAGTTTAAACGGAGGTAATAAGATCCCAGATTATTAGAGGCCAGATGGCACCACTTTGACATCAAAGACAAGGTGGGCACGTTTACTGTAAGAGGTAACATGTACCAGTGATCAGAATGCCTTGGCCTTCAGGAATCTTTTACTATGGCTAGTTGACTGTAATATCCCTAGGAATGAAATAACCTACTAGAGTATTGCTTGTGTTATATAACAGAAAAAACTCTAGATTTGGTACCCAAAATCCTAACTTGATTTGCTATAGGAGAATCACAGCCTCTTACCCAATACTAGACACAAATCAATTCACAAACAGAGCCCCTTGACTCAAGGGGAGTCTAGGTAACCTTAGGTGGAATCTTGAAGCATTCACATGAGTATATACCATAAGTCTTCCTCCAAACTTTCCCATGTGGAGCCTGCAGCCGTTATTAGAATGGGAATTATGAAAAAGGAAATACCCAGATCTTTGGAGAATTATTAGACACTGGCTTCAGATTGACACTAATTCATAGGAGCTCAAAATGCCACTGTGCACCATCAGTAAAAATGGAGCTGTACTGGTAATCCTGAGTACTATATACTTGATGCAGTGATTTTCTAGGACAACTCACCAGATTCAGTATATAGTCATACACCTATAGCTGAGATTTATTACAGGAAAATGACACAAAGCAAAATCAGCAAAGTGACTTGCATGGGACAAAGTCTAAAGGAAAATAGTAACGAACCTCCAAGTGTCCTATCCCAGTGGAGTCACACAGGATATAATTAATTTCTCCAGCTATGAGTTATGACACGTATGAAATGTTTACCAGGGGAGATCGTTAGAGACTTAGTGCCCATCTATCACCTAACTACCCTAACTACTGTGCAGAGAAGAGTTAACATAGCAGGCCTGTTATCCTTTGAAAGGTCTGCTTAAAATGTCCCTTGGGACAGCTGCATGCAGAAGAATGAGACAGGATCATTTTCTTACACTACATACAAAAATAAACTCAAAATGGATTAAGGATCTAAATGTGAGACATGAAACCATAAAAACCCTAGAAGAAAGAGTCCATGACAAAGTAGCAAGAGTTGCAGAGATGGAGGCTATACACAGGCTCAGTAGCATGGTTTTACTCTTCGATGCATCTTCAATGCCTGATATGCCAACAGCAAAGACCAACATTTAATTCCCGCTATGCTACCATTCCCTGGGGGATCAGTCTGCTGTAAGATTGACCGTTATCAGAACTCTCTTATTATGGAAGGTGCAGAGATTGATCCTTAGTGGAATAAACTGATATTCTACGTACGTATTTGCCTTCTCTGTTCATGATGCTTCTGACAACACCACTGTCCATGGCCTCACAGCATATCTTCTCTTCCTTTGTGGTATTTCACATAGTATTGCTACTGATCAGTGTACTTGTTTCACTACCAAGGAAGTAAAGCAATGGGGTCATCCTTATTGAATTCACTGATCTTAGCACATATCACATCGCCAAGAAGAGGCTGGCCTAATTGAATAAATAATGTCTTATTGAAGGTTCAATTACAGTGTTAGATACCCTAAAAGAATGGAGTTCTGTCTCAAAGCATATAGTATATGCTTTGAATTAGAGACCATTATATGGTGCTGTCTCCCCCATATCCAGAAGACATAGTTTAGGAATCAAATTGTGAAAGTGGGAATAACTCCTCTCACTTGCACCTAGTAACTCAGTCCATTAGTGCCATGTCAGCTACTTTGAACCCTGTGTTTTGAGGTCTTTGATCCTAAGAGGGCAATGCTTCCACTATGGGACCTCACAAGGGTTCTGTTGAATTAGAAGATGAGACCACCACCTGGCCACTTTGGCCTTATGCCACTAACCCAGGAAGAAGAAGGGGTTATTCTACTGGCTAGAGTGATTGACCGATTCTGATTACCAAGGAGAAATTGGGTTGTTGTACAATGTCATGAAGAAAGACTGTATGTAGAAAACCACAAAATATACAAAAATAGAACTATTACAGAATCAGACCCTTCACTGATGAAGACTTGCATCATTCCATGAGGTGAATAACTCTGACCAGTTGATGTTTTAGCAGAGGGCGAGTGAAATTCAGCTTAGTCCATGGTCTCATGGTTCATAGAATCGAGCCCTGTGTTAGACTTTACGCTGACAGTGTGGAGCCTGCTCGGGATTCTCTCTCTTCTCTCTCTCTCTGCCCCTTCCCCACTTGTGCCCTCCCTCTCTCTCAAAATAAATAAACTTTAAAAAATATTTTCAAAGTTAAAAAAAAAAGATATAGGACACAAAGAAGAAAGTCATAGATATCATATCAACTATGACCTTATGTCCAGTTACAGATGTGAGGACTGTTACGATTATTTGTATATGCTATCCTTCTGTCTTCTTCTTCCAAGGATAATTATATATGTGAGTGATGGAGGTTAACCTTGCAATTTAGTCTTTAGGTAGCATAATATTCAATGTGATTGTGACTAAAATTGGGGAGCAATTAATATAGTCAGTAATAGATACAGTGAATATTGAGACTGTGTCCTTTTTGTTAGGTGGAAAATCATATGGAAACTGAAATATGAATGGAAGGATGTATTTGGACAAAGGATGGACAAAATTATTGATTGATCTCAGTTCCAAACCCAAATATACATATAATTGTCCTGCTCTGTGATACTAGAGCAGAACCCTGTCAAAATTTCTCCTTTACTAGATGGTCTAATGTTAATCTTTTTTAGTAGAAGGTGCTGAGGGACTAATGTGCTTTTCTCTCTTCTTGTTCCTGTGGTATGTGGCAGCCAAAA